ATAAGTTTAATCATAAATTCGAACAAGCGAGAATGAAGTAGAAACCACACTCAAGAAATAATTGTCATACCATGCAGGTTAATTTCATGTGTGCTAATAGTGATTTTTCATTTCTCACAAATTATTTGCCACGGAATTCTTTATAATTCACATTGTACGTTTCAAAAGTTCAATCGGATTTTTTTTGAATTTTAAATTTTTAGAGCCTCTTTTCGAGCAAGCTAAGTAAGATAAGGGTACATCCTTAATTGTTGTCTGCTTGATCTTCACGGATGAATATTTGAGATATGCATAATGACAGCTCAATCATATGGTGCTGACAAATCCCCTCATCCCCTCATTGGCCTCGCCGCTCGCTTAGATCCGCCCACTACAGCTGGCATCAGCTGAGGGAGAACGAAAATCCCAAAAGTCTTACGAATTGTTTCATTGGAACTAAAAGGTTTTAGACTCTAGCTATCTTTGGTTGTGAAGTAAGTAAAGTTAGTAATGTAGACAACTTGTAGGGAGATAAACTACATTTTTGACAAGTCAAAGAAAAATTTGCTTTCTCTTGTCCAATAGCCTTATTAAACATTTAAAAAACTCTGTTTTCAGGTACATTAAAGGGTAGTCAATCAAACCCAAGAAATGGAGCTGATAAGCATATTCCTTGAACTTCCTAAATTTTGCTTTTGTAACAAGGCGCATATCGCAAGAACTTCATCGGCTTGTCACTATCGTTTCTTCTTAAGAGATCATGGATAAAAAATTCCAGTTCTAGGCGGAAAAAATTTAATGGACACACGAAAACTTGGCATCGTTTCTGTATCCAAGTCAGCCGCATATCTTTGAACAAATCTGATGGAACTATTTGCTTGAGTATTCCGCTCTACAGGGATTTCACTATACAGTATATGTACAAACAATATTTATTCTAATGATACAACTAATATCTACTCTCTGAGTACTGTTAACTTGTTTTCAAAAATTGGAATGCCATTTTCCACAAAAAAAAGATGTAGAATTT